GGGGAGAGGGTGCCTTCACACACATATTCGGTGTGAAATATCTTCCGCCCCCCAGCGGAGCGCCTCTGTGAAGCAAAGCGCGGCATTCAAAACAACAACCAAAATTGCCGTCGCTTCCCTGCCCTGCAATGGCTGGAGCAGAAGGAGAGAGATTTTAGTCTCATTGGATCAGAGGAATGGCAGTGGAGCGGGCTTATGGCGAGTAGGCTCGCGCTCTATCAATTACACTTGCCAGGTCTCTCTTCCGTTTGGACATTATTTACTCCGTCTCTCTCTCTCTCGGCGCACACGTCGCCACCCTACTAGTTTCCGTCACAGCATATGCTGCGGCCTTTCAGTCCGGAACGGGGCTCCCCTTCGCCTTGCTGTCTGCCCAACTTAGCGGACTTGCGTTGGCTGATCACCCAGTCTTAGCGTCTGTGCCGGCCTTCAATGCAGCGCCCAACCGTCTCTTGACCGAGATTCATTGCACTATTCCACGCGCAAACGGCTACCCTAAATGTGCATAGACAACGCTCATGGTTCAACACGACCAGGGCGCAGTCTGGGAGCCGAGTATACTAAAAAGAGAGTTTAGCAGCCAAAACTCGTCAAAGCACACGTTGGGTTACCCCATCACCTAACAACGATGATGGCGGTTCCCACCTGTGAAATACACAACCTAACCAATATTGGGCGACGATGGCGCTCATGAGCCCACGTCCCCACAAACAGTAAGAGAAAGAGAGAGAGGAGGAGATGGGCCAAGGTCTTATGCCTCGCTGGGGCAAAGAGAAGAGAAGAGGAGCGGATAAGGGAGGAGATTGGCCAACGTGCGGTCCCTCGCCCAATGTCGGCTGCCTCGCTGGAGCTGGGTAAAGAGGAGAGGAGCGGATAAGGGAGGAGATTGGCACACACGGTGGCGCTGCCGGCGCCGAGGATAGCGAGAGAAGGTGCAGTTTGATCTGATCATCTGGTTTGCTATTTCTCTAAGGCCAACGTGCGGTCCCTCGCCCAATGTCGGCTGCCTCGCTGGGGCAAAGAGAAGAGGAGAGGATAAGGGAGTAGATTGGCACACACGGTGGCGCTGCCGGCGCCGAGGATAGCGAGAGAAGGTGCAGTTTGATCTGATCATCTGGTTTGCTATTTCTCTAAGGCCAACGTGCGGTCCCTCGCCCAATGTCTTCTGCCTCGCTGGGGCAAAGAGAAGAGGAGCGGATAAGGGAGGAGATTCGCCAACGTGCGGTCCCTCGCCCAATGTCGGCTGCCTCGCTGGAGCTGGGGCAAAGAGGAGCGGATAAGGGAGGAGATTGGCACACACGGTGGCGCTGCCGGCGCCGAGGATAGCAAGAGAAGGTGCAGTTAGATCTGATCATCTGGTTTGCTATTTCTCTAAGGCCAACGTGCGGTCCCTCGCCCAATGTCTTCTGCCTCTCTCAATCTCACTATTTTGGCCGCCGTGATAGGCGCCGCCAACAGCAGCAGCTACCTGGTTGATCCTGCCAGTAGTCATATGCTTGTCTCAAAGATTAAGCCATGCATGTGTAAGTACAAGCCGATTTAAGGCGAAACTGCGAATGGCTCATTAAATCAGCTATGTTTCATTGGATCTGTAAACCCACTTACTTGGATAACTGTGGCAATTCTAGAGCTAATACATGCAATTGGTCTCTGACCGCAAGGGAAGAGCGCTTTTATTAGTTCAAAACTGGTCGGCCCCCGGTCCGTAACCCACCTGTGGTGAATCTGAATAACTTCGGGCTGAGCGCACGGTCTCCGCACCGGCGCCGCTTCTTTCAAGTGTCTGCCTTATCAGCTTTCGATTGTAGGTTATGCGCCTACAATGGCTATAACGGGTAACGGGGAATCAGGGTTCGATTCCGGAGAGGGAGCCTGAGAAACGGCTACCACATCTAAGGAAGGCAGCAGGCACGCAAATTACCCACTCCCGGCACGGGGAGGTAGTGACGAAAAATAACGATATGAGTCTCATCCGAGGCCTCGCAATCGGAATGAGTACACTTTAAATCCTTTAACGAGTATCCATTGGAGGGCAAGTCTGGTGCCAGCAGCCGCGGTAATTCCAGCCCAATAGCGTATATATTAAAGTTGTTGCGTTAAAAGCTCGTAGTTGATCTCAGTTCGATCGACGTGTGCACCGCCCGGTGTTTACTGTCACGCCCGAACAAAGCCGCCTGGCCGGCTCGCACGGATGCTCTTTGTCGAGTGTCCCGAGTGGCCGAGTTTACTTTGAAAAATTAGAGTGCCTTGAGCAGGCTATTTGAAATGGCCCGAATGGTGATGCATGGAATAATGGAATAGACCTCGGTTCTATTTTGTTGGTTTCGAACCAGGAGGTAATGATCAATCGAACAGGCGGGGTATTCGTGATTAAGCGACGCTAGAGGTGAAATTTCTTGACCGGGCTGCGGTAAGACGAACCATTGCGAAAGCATTGCTGGCGATGTTTTCATTAATCAAGAACGAAAGTTAGAGGTTCGGAAGGCGATCAGATAAATGCCCTAGTTCTAACCATAAACGATGCCAACTAGCGATCCGCCGGCGTTATTCCCATGACCCGGCGTGGCAGCTTCCGGGAAACCAAAGTCTTTGGGTTCCGGGGGAAGTATGGCTGCAAAGCTGAAACTTAAAGGAATTGACGGAAGGGCACCACCAGGAGTGGAGCCTGCGGCTTAATTTGACTCAACACGGAAAACCTCACCAGGCCCAGACACCGGAAGGATTGACAGATTGAGAGCTCTTTCTCGATTCGGTGGGTGGTGGTGCATGGCCGTTCTTAGTTGGTGGAGCGATTTGTCTGGTTAATTCCGATAACGAACGAGACTCTGGCCTACTAAGTAGTCGACGGATCTCCAGAAAATGGTGTCCAGTTCGCAACTTCTTCTTAGAGGGATAAGCGGCAATTCTAGCCGCACGAGATTGAGCAATAACAGGTCTGTGATGCCCTTAGATGTTCTGGGCCGCACGCGCGCTACACTGAAGGGATCAACGAGTTTTCCCCCTCCGAGAGGAGCGGGTAACCCGTTCAAAGCCTTTCTTGATAGGGATTGGGGCTTGCAATTGTTTCCCATGAACGAGGAATTCCCAGTAAGTGCAAGTCATCAGCTTGCTCTGACTACGTCCCTGCCCTTTGTACACACCGCCCGTCGCTACTACCGATTGAATGATTTAGTGAGGCCTTCGGACTGGCGCTCTTGGATTGTCGGCCCCGTTGCCCGCGAGGGTTTTCTGGGGTCGTCGCCTCGAGCTGACGGAAAGATGTCCAAACTTGATCATTTAGAGGAAGTAAAAGTCGTAACAAGGTTTCCGTAGGTGAACCTGCGGAAGGATCATTAACAGAGAGAAAGAGAACGGGGCGCTCTTAAAACTACTACTACTTCTCTCCTGATTTGGGCGGTCTCGGGCTCTGCTCTGGCAACTCCAGCAGCGAAAGAGGACAATCCCGGCCCCCGCACCAAAAATAGGTACCACCACGCTGTAGGTGGACCACACTCGGGCGAGAGCGCCAAGACCGGAGGAGGAGGACGGACGGGGCTTTGGACGGCTGCCCGTCCGTTCCTTACTACCGGCGAATAAGCCTCTTGACCCAAAAAGAGTGAAATTCAAGTGTCAAAAAACAACAACAAGCCGTCCGGCCAAACCCAAACCACAAACTTGGGCTATGTCTGTCAAACCCTTTCATTGAGACTCGACCTGTGATGGTTAGTCGCAAAAAGACCAAATGGCAAATACACAACTCTTAACGGGGGATCACTCCGCTCGTGGGTCGATGAAGACCGCAGCAAACTGCGTGTCGGTATGTGAATCGCAAGAATACCAGATACATCGACAAGTTGAACGCATATTGCGGCGGCGGCAGCCATATGAGCTTGTCGCCGCCACTCCTCTACGAGGGTCGGAAATATACATCCATCGGTTGCTGCGAGTTCGGTGCCTGCTGACTGTCTCCCTGACACGAGGGTAACCCGAACCGAGCTTCCGCCTTGGGGTTTAATCGCCCGCGCCTTGCGCGAGGCGTGCCCTTAAAAACAAGCAAGCCTATCACTAGCAAGTCCATGGACTTGGCGCACCCACATTCAACCACAACAAAGCGACAGTTGTCGCTCTCGCAAATAACTGGAGGCGGCGCTCTTTTGCCTGCTGTCCACAGAGACACGAATGGCCGTCGGCCGCTCATGGCTGATGCTGCACATGTTCTAAGAGGCACTCCATCCCACGAAGAGGAAACGAAACCGGGTCGGATATCTTTTAAGTAAGCCCCGCTGGAATTTCGTCTATCACCTCGAAAAGAGTGCTTGGCATGCATTGCAGTGGAACCTAAATTG